CATGATATCACCATTGCACTCATGAACACACAGTAGATGTGGTTACCTGCACAAGACCTGCACAAGATCAAGTCAGTCAAAATCCCAGCATAGATGGGAGAGGGGATCATGAGGCCACACTCCTAGCTGAGTAACTATTGACAGCTAATGGATGCTGGTGGAGGGGGAGTTTTCCTCCAGTGGTGCAGCCACTGGTAATTTTCCTATGATCCAGTAAAACAACTCTACATCCATGCATATTCAAGCAACCCTGATTGAACTCAGTGGGTCATAAAAAAATATATATGAAAGTAGGAGGGGGACTTATTAGGAGAAAAAAGCATTCAAAGGGAGTGAGAGGGTATAAGAGAGGGTAATAAGTTGAAAACACAGTATATACATATATGAAATACTTAAAAAATAAAATAAAAATGCATAAAAATACATTCTGATATACCACAGAGTAAAATATAGCAAGGAAAATGAATTATTCACAGCAACAATATGACTGAGTCTCACAAACAGAATTGAAAGAAAGAAGATGGACATGAAAAATTATAATGCACCACTCCAATTATATAAAGCACAAAAATAGGCAAATGAATATATGGTGTTAAAATTTACAGTGGTATTTACATTTAAAGTCTAGAGTGTTCGAACGAGGGAAAAAAGAACTTCTAGTTTCTGGTAATGTTGCTGGTTAATTAGTTATTTGTTGCGGATATATATACAATTTGAATATACAACTGGTCTCTATACTTATAATTTATGCATTTTCTGCAAAAATTTATATTTCAATAAAAAGTTGGGGAAAAGAGAGAAAATTAGAATGATCTATTCCAAAATGCTAACTGTAAATTTTTCTGGTTAGTGACAGCATGGATTTTTTTTCCAGAAAGTTTTTTTCAACATGTTCTTTTGTGTATTCAAACTTAATAATAAAGTTTTATCATTCAATCTAAATAAAGGGGCTTTGCAATTCTGAGAATAAAACCCAGGTCTTTATGAGTAGTAGATGAGTACTGTGCCAGTGAGTTATATTCCAAACCCCCTAAAAATAGTATCATTGCTTAAAATGAATTGAGTATAATCATTATAATTTTAGATAAAAAAGAATAGATATTACGAATCTTGGAATAAAACCACCACAATGTTATATACTTACCACAAAGTTAAGGAATGAAATTTTTTATCTGAATTTTCTGTCTAATTATATTGTTCCTTTGAATATCAGTCCTTTATAAAAATGTGTTATGCATATTCTGGATTCATAATCATATAATAAATACTTATCTGCCTTCTTAAGTTAATTTTTCTTAATAATTCCAGGCCATTAATGATTATCTGACACAGTGAACAATTTAAAGACAATGAAGACAACTAGTGTTTTTTGTCCTTGCATTAAATTCTCTAAGATATCTATAGTATTTTAATTCTAGTGTTGATTTTGAGTATTGCTCCTATCTCTTTCTCTTTGAAGACTTTACCAGTTTTCACTGCTTACTCTCTTTTAGCTTCCCCATTCATTTTAATTTTCTGACTTTAATATCCATTGACCTGGAAAAATAAATGTAAACCTGGAAAATAAATGTCCAGTCTTATTTGAAAAGTAGTTTTTAAAAGGTTAAAATAGAAGGCCAATGAGATGATGCAGGAGGTAAAGGTGTTTGCTGCCAAGCCTGACAACCCGAGTTCCCTGGGTAGAAGGACAGAACTGGCTTCCACAATTTGTCCTATGACCTCCACACATGCATGGTGGCACAAGTATGTCCATGGACATGTGTGCACATCCATAAATAAGTAAATAAATGAATAAATGTAATGAAACATTTTTAAAAGTTTAAAGTAAAGGAAAATAACTCACAGAAATATAGCTCGGCATACCTGCCCTGAGTACCTTCAACTGGACAGAATGACAATAACAAATATAGACAACAATATAGAGCAATAGAAATCCTCCTGTACTACTACTGAGAGTGTAAAATGGTGCAAGAATTTAGTAAATTTCTCTGACAATAGCTATGAAAACTAAAATAATGCATATGATTTAGTAATCCCACTCGGGCTTATTTACAATGTAAGTGTTCATATGAATACAAAAATATATACAAAATATTTTTAGCAGCATTGTTTGTAATAATCACAAACTATGAATAAGGTAAATGTCCCTCAGAGGTTGACAAGCTATGTTATAGTACATATTCACATAATGATAAATTATATAGTAGTGATAAATGAACACAGATCTGTTATAAACAACACAGATAAAAACACAATGTAGTGGGGCAGCTATTGGGGAAACACAAGTAACTACAATCTATATAATTCTATTATTACTATTTAAAGATCTGATTCAGACAAGACTAATCTGTAGTGCCAAAAGTCAGTATAGGAATTTTCTCTCAGGCAAAATGAGAAGGAAGGGATTGACAGAAAATACCATGGGAACTTTTGAGATGCTGGTAATGATCTATTTCTTAACCGCCATCATGATCACATAATGTGTTAAATTTGTCATAATTTATCAGTCTCTACATTTGAGCTTTGTGTACTTTATTATGTGTATGTTCCAGTAATGATGTGAAATGCTTTATTAAAATCATGCTGAAGATAAAGTAGTGTGGAAAATATTCTCTTTTTAAAAATGTGTAAAAAAGAATTCAAAGAAAGTATCAAAGGGAGTTTGGGATGCAGAGTGTGAACCCATCTTTTATGGTCAAATTGAAAGGTCATGTCAGTCATATGCATAGCTCCCTTGCTGTTCATTTAGCAATAACTAGAAATCTTTGGAGACCTATAGAATAGAAAATATCTCAGTCAGTAGAAAATGCAAGTCAGTGTGTCCAGGGAGTTGACGTCATAGAAAGATGTACTAGGATAACCAGGAAGTAGGAGAATCAAGTACGGATATATTTGTTAAGGAAATAAATGCCATGGAATGGAATGGAATTGAGCTGTCATTTCAGAAGTAAGCTGTAGTCACTCAATGTTGTTTTACTTTACTAGATGGGGAGAGAGTAATACATCCAACTCAAACTAGAAAGAAGGTTTCAGGGGAAAATGTTTTTAATTTATAAGTAAAAAGAACAAAAAATACTAAGAAGCACCCATCAAAGACAAACAACAAGGAACCTTTCTGGAGAATGGGAGAGGTCAAAGTAAGAGAGTCCATCAGATTTGACTTCAATCATATTTTTGTAGCAGCTCAAAAGAGGTCATTGCTTTCTACAAGATTCTCCCAAGGAGTGACCAGCATGTAAAACAACACATTTCTCCCCTGTAGATGCATGTACATTCATTTTTGTAGTAAATATGGGTCTCTTTTGGCCAGGTTGGCCAAATACATAGTCCTGAACTTCCTACTTTGCTATTATAGCGGTAATAGCAGTAAGCACCTTTAAAAAAAAAAAAAGGATGTAGAAAATGTCAAGAATGAATATCAGAGTGAGTGACCTTTAAAGGAATTCCAGGGTACAAAATTACTAAATGTAACAGTAATTATTATCAACAAGATCTTGGAAGGATTTCAATTGTGGCTGCAGATGGCAATTTGACATAATATTTTTCCATCACAGTGCTCCAATGTATTCCTAGATAAAAGCTAAGCTTTAGCTCAAATAATGTGGTAGCACGCCTAGAAAATATAGCAACTGACCCCTCTTCCTGGCCAAACTCTTTAGATTATAAGCAACAAACACATGTGCTTATACACATAAGCATGAACAAACCCCTGGTGTTTCCATTCTCACCCTGTGAGACCCCAACCAATTCTGGCATACTAGTAAATGAAAAACTAGGAAATTCAATCCTACCTGTCTAACCGTCTTCATTTTCACCTCCCACCCATCCTAGCACATTCTAGCTCTAGCCACCCTGGATAACTGGCAGTTTTGCAAACTTATCTTTTATATTTATACCTCCAAATCTTTCCTGTTGATGCTCCCTGAAGCTGCATTACCCTGAAAAACCATGAACTTTCCCATACTTCTCATCACTTAGAACCCAACTCTTCTTTGAGTCTTTCTCAGCAACTATCTCCAACTCAAGACACCAAGGAAAAAATTGTCATTCATTTCTGTGTTTGCATTATGTGTAAATTGACTCTCCATGAGAATGCATGTTTCCATCTATTTTATCTGAGCCATTTTTACTAAATAGGAACTTTTAAAGCTGTACTGTGTTTTATATTACAATACTTACATGAGATCTTGGGGATAAGAAATGAAATGTACAAAAGTTCAAAAACATTTTTTTAAAGAAATGAAAATGATATACGGTTTATAGTGATTTGTGTGTCAAGTTGACAAGAAGTCACACTCTTTGAAAGTCATATATGTAAGAAAAAGTACTTATATTTGGAACTCTGACACAGGGGTTCAAATCCTGATCTCTTTCACTTGCCTGACTCTGTACAAGCAAATTCATCTCCCTGGTCAAGTGTTCTCATCGCCAAGGTATTCAGAGTAGCTGAACTGTTCAGAGTAGCTACCTTAGAGCTAAGATTAAGTGATTTTAATATGAGAAAAGTGAAAACACCAGAAACAATGCCAGTCACATAGTAAGTGCTCCCTAAAGGGTTAGCAAACATACTGCAAGGGTTAGAACATACTGCAAGCTCCATATAGAAAGGAATAATCACTTTGTCCTCATCACAATCACTGATATACTTCAAGAACATACATCACTGTGCTTGGCATGGGACACATGCTCAAGATATAATCTATTGAGTGGGTGGAGTCATTGATAACTATAATTATCACTAACCCCCACTTCAGAGTCCTCTACTGTGCTTTACCAAGATTCTTTTAATGTCATAGAAAAACTTCAAGTGTAGTGTCACTGAACACCTCGCCCTCCCCACCCTCACATCCCTTGACCCTTTTGCTTTATCTCCTTTATCCTTTTTTGCGATTTCGCATTCTTAATAAGTTGAATCCTCCAGCAAGCGCAGACCAGCCTGGCCGACCCAGCAGAGGTGGGAGGCGGGAGTGGAAGACTGAGAGTGGGGCGTGGTCACCAAGTCGCAGAGCCCGACTGCGCCTGCGTAGGCTGCGGCAAAGCTAACTGCTCTTAGGCTTTCGCTCATTGCTGACTAGAGCTTGTTTAAAAAGATCGCCTTTCTTACCAGCTCTCACTTTCCATCCGCCCAGCTCCCGGGTCTCAGGCCTTGGCTGTGTGCCGAGGCACCAACACACCTGCCGTCCTCTCTCCGACGGATCGCTGACCTCCCCGTTCGCGTTCCTGTCTCCCGGAACCATGTCTCTGGTAAGCCAGAATGCGCGCCACGGCAGCGCAGAAACCACTGCAGATTACAGCGACGGCCGGGGTGAAATGCAGGCTACTAACGCCTCCGGGCCCCCCACCTCCATGGTAGTCCCCGATGCTCCCCAGGGTCCTCCAATTCCAATCGACCCACAGGGTGCCAGCGCTTCCCAGGCTGCGCAGGACCCGAATGACATCGAGGTTCTCATCGACGAGCAGTCTCGACGTTTGGGGGCGCTCAGGGTCCACGACCCTCTAGAAGACAGGTCGGTTGCTTTGGTGAATTTCATGCGCATGAAAAGCCAAAGCGAGGGGTCCATCCGGCAGTCAGACATGCTGGAGTTTCTCAGAGAATACTCAGATCAGTTCCCTGAGATACTCAGACGAGCCTCAGCTTACCTGGATCGGGTCTTTGGGTTGAACCTGAGAGTTCTTGATCCTCAGACTGACACCTACAACCTAATCAGCAAACGGGGTCCCCAGACCACTGAACGGTTAGCAGAGACCCTAGACATGCCAAAGGCAGGTCTCCTAGCTCTGGTCCTAGGCCACATCCTCTTGAATGGCAATCGGGCAAGAGAGGCCTCCATTTGGGACCTGCTGCTAAAGGTTGATGTGATGGATGAGCCTCAGAGGATCAACAACCTCTTTGGGAACACAAGAAACCTCCTCACTACTGACTTTGTCCGCATGCGATTTTTGGAGTACTGGCCAGTGTATGGCACTAATCCTCTCGAATTTGAGTTCCTGTGGGGTTCTAGAGCCCACAGGGAAATCACAAAGATGGAAGCCCTGAAGTTTGTAGCAGAGGCCCATGATGAAGAACCCTGGAGCTGGCCAGAAGAGTATAACAAGGCCCTGGAAGCGGACAAAGCCAAAGAGAGAAGCCAGGCTGCTGGCTTAGAGTTCTGGTCAGAGGACACTATGAACGATAAAGCAAATGATTTGGTCCAGTTGGCCATTAATGTCACTGAGGAGTTGCTGCCTATACATCAGGATGAGCTTTTGGCTCACACTGGCAAAGAATTCGAGGATGTGTTCCCAAATATCCTCAGCCGAGCCACTCTAATCCTTGATCTGTTTTATGGGTTCTCTCTGATTGAGGTTGATACCAGTGAGCACATCTACCTCCTAGTCCAGCAACCAGAATCAGAAGAAGAGCAAGTGATGCTCGAGAGCTTGGGCAGACCCACCCAAGAATATGTGATGCCAATCCTGGGTTTGATCTTCCTGATGGGCAACCGAGTCAAAGAGGCCAACATCTGGAACTTGCTTCGGAGATTTAGCGTGGATGTAGGGAGAAAGCACGCCATCACCTGTAAGCTTATGCGACAACGCTACCTGGAATGCAGGCCACTGTCCTACTCTAATCCAGTTGAATATGAGCTGCTTTGGGGTCCTCGGGCTCACCTTGAAATCACCAAAATGAAAGCCTTGGAATACATGGCCAGGCTCTACAGAAAGAGACCACAGGACTGGCCAGAGCAATACAGGGAGGCTGTGGAAGATGAGGAGGCCAGAGCCAGATCTGAGGCAACTGCCATGTTCTTCTTTGGCTCCATGTGAAGTCTGGAGGCGGTTTCGTTTTAGTTGAGTGACATCAGTTAAACGGGCCTTTGGGAAATGGGCACTGGTGTTCTAAATCAGAAATTGGGAGGGTTGGGGTAGAGATTACACCTTATGCTTACTGTGTTCCAGTTCTAATAGTGTTTCTTTCCTTCTAATATATTCTTAAATTGGCTTCTTGATCAGTGTTTATAAATGAAGTTGCTCATTTGCTCTTCCTGTCTTGTTTAAATATAAATGTTCAGATAACTGTGTAAAATGTATTTGTAGTATGTACATCTTTGAAATAACCAGTAAAATGAGCTAAATAACAATAACAACACATATACAACAACAACAAAACAAACACAAAGCCACTCATCTGTGGTTGCCCTCCCTTTATGTCTACTATTGTATTAACAAACAAAAAAAGATTGCCACTTAACCTGTATTTGTTTTGCTGTTACAGAGTGTAGTGAAAAATAAAAGCATAATGAATAAGATGCCATGCTTATATGTTCATTTATTCTATAACGTTTATTAGGTACCTGTGTGCTCTGAGCACAAGGCCATGTGCTGGGAATATAAGGTTATAAAAGCTCCACTGGGTCTCAGAGCTTCCCCCTAAAGGAGGAAGAGTCATGGAAGTAAACTAGCAATTATTTTTTTTTTACTGTGGCAAGTGATGTAACTAAAAAAATGGAGTGGGGTGGATATGTTATGGGAGTTCACAAGGATAGCCCCCAACTACGTGGAGGGAGGGCAGTGGAGAAGGCAATGCAGTCCAAGGAAGGCTAAAGGGTCAGGAATATGAAGCAGGGGGTAAGGGAGGTGGTGGGAAAGACAAGGAGGGTAGGACTGGGGACAAAATATGCTTTAGTGGTATCTTGGGAGTGATACCTGAGGTCAGGGAGAGGGAGAACAGGAGGAACTGATGAAGATACAGGTGGTGTGTAAAATACTCTCAGGGATTTGAGAGTCACCCAGAAAGACACTGTTGAAGTCATCAGGGGAATGGGAGAGGTAAGTCTGTAGCAGATGGTAACAAAGGCCCTATTCTTAGAGAGTGAATCTCAGGAAACAGTAATGGGCTTCTCAAATACAGTTTGTCTTGGGTCTTCAGTCAGACCAAACAATCCACCTGAGGGAGCTCTGTAGAGTCTCCTCCTCCCCTCCCTCCTCCTGTGTATTTCAACACCCAGGCTGTTAAGGTGAAAGCGTTTTAGGTCTCTTCATCCTGATTCCTCTGACAGCTTCTAACAAGACTCAGAAGCCTTCCCTAGAGAGCTTGCAGGTAAAAATTTCTGAGAGGCATCCCTGGTACTGGGGTGGATATAATACAGAAAGTCACCTCTGACTAGGGGAAGAGAGTGCTGTCTGCTAGTGCTGTATGCTGAATGCTACCTCATCTCCCTGGCACTATCAAGCTTTCTGCCCCTTGCTACCATTTAATCATCAGAGGTACCCTCAACTGCCACCTTCTAGCAAATGGCAGAGTATTGGCTGACATTCGTCACAATTTTTCAGCCTCAGGAAGATAACAACACAACTTTCCAGCAGAGGAAGTGGACAGTGGGAGGAAAGATACGCCCCTTTGGCCCCCCAGGTCTGACCTGCCGCTAGCTGGAAAAGAGCAGTCTGCTTGAGAAAACCACTGCGCAGGCGCACTCCGCGGTTGCCAGGGCGATACAACCCCTGCCGGGTCTCAGTAATTTCCAATGTAGTAACATTCCAAGAACTAAAAGCCGAGGGAGGGATTTCTGGCAACGAGAAAAATTAAATACTTGGAGAGCCTGAGCTGATGGAGTTCAGGAAAATGGGGTGAGGTGGGCTTGGGAGGAGGGAGAGGTCCGACTCAGAATCTGAGACCTTGGAGTGGGATCCTATATGCACCCTAAATTGTGAGGTTTTCATTCTTCAGCCTCCTTGGACTCTAAGTCCGTTTATGCTTCTGCAGTGAGCAAGGGAAAAGAGCTAAGTCTATTAAGATACCAAATGTGTCCTGCTGTGGCTTTTTGGATTGTTGCAGTTTCTGGGTCCTCAAATACGTCTGCTTTTCCGGGGAAGGGGTCTCCAGCACTGAGAGACCTGCCAAGGGGAAGGTGTGGCATCTGGATGGACCGACAATCATCAACATAAAGCTCCAATTTTCTTAGCACTAAATATGTGTGAGGAACCCTGTTGGATTTTTCAGATACTTAAGTCTAATCTTTCCATGAACTCTTGAAGAAAAAAAAAAGAAGCATTTAATGCTTCCATTTGACACGAAGGTAAACTGAGGTTTACCTAATATGCCCAAAGTCATACAGTCATTAGTGAGAGCTAAGCTTTGAGTTCAAGAAGTCCTGCCCGCTTTGGGGGCTGTGCTATGTTGTCAAATTTACTGACTCTCGAGATAAAAGAAAAGGCAGCATGGTTGGGGTGGCAAGCAAGACAGTGCCCTCCAAAGGAGGATGGAAGTGAGGCTGGAATTTCTCCAGGCTCCACTGCCCTATCTAGGGGTAGAATATGCATTTCTGTGTACTCTTCGTATTAAGTCTTATTATTCTTCCCCAGGCTGCTCTCTGTAAGCCCCCAGCCTTATCTACTGCCTTTCAAGAGTCAGAGCATCACCATTTCCGGCCCTCTAGAAGTATAAAGAGGGAAAGCATCTAGTGCCTCTGTGACTACAGCCATTGCTTTTCAGGCCAAGGGATACCCAGGGACTTTCTATCTTCCAGGCACCAACAGAAGACACGGGCAGAAATGGGTGTCTGGTAAACAAGCGCAGAAGTGCTGCAAGAATGACTACAGCATACAACCATCAATCAGGCTGCAAAACAACAAATCAGATATCCTTATCTGTGTGAGTTAATTTGAAAACTGGAGGCTGGAGAGAAAGCTCAGTTGTTAAAGTGATTGCTTTGCAAGTTTGAGGACCTGAGTCTGATTCCTAGCATGAGTGTAAAAAGTCAGGCGTGGTGGTACATGCCAGAAATCCCAGCACTGAAGAAGTGGAGGAGGATCCCTGGGACTGGCCAGCCAGTGTAGCTTATTTGGTGAGGTCTAGGCCAAGGAAAGGCCCTGTCTCAAAGGAGGTGGGTGAATAGTGTTTCTGAGGATGGCCCTCGAGTCTTCCGCAACCATGCATTCATGTGCAGCCACACACACACAAACACATACACACCACACATATGCTCATACGTGCCTGAGAAAGGAAAACCTGTAAATGAATACCATCAACACCTACCCCGTATTGCTTCTTTGTCCAAGTTATGGCTTCTGGGATGGGTGTTTGGCTCATCATGCTATGTGTACAATGTCACCCAGAATTCCCTTTGACCTGTGACTGGGATCATTCCTGGGGAGATAACTTTGGGAACATATTTCTTTTCAGTACCTGAGGCCCAAGAGTACAGTCATTTGGAAATTAAGGAAGCCTTTCCTGACCTTTCAGAATATCCACCAGCCTCTGTACACAAACAAAACTCATCCACTGGAATCTAGTTGGCCTATCTAGAGATCATTAGTATGGCCAACTCACCCTCACCCAGTAGTGATCAGTCTCCAATAGTTCCCAGACTAGGGCCAACCTGCCACCTATTTCCCTCGTTCCACTCTGGCACATGTCTGATGAAATATACAAAAGCTCAATAAATTTAAAAAAATCATCCACAAATAAGCATACAATCCAAGCAAAAGCTGAGCTACACCAGCATATCTGGATTTCAAGACAATTCTTTTCAACCCCATGAACTACCACACCTAAGCCCTCTGACACTGATGACCTAGAACAGGGCTTCTTAAACTTTTTCCACTTGTGGCTCCTTTTGACCCAAGAAATTTTTACATAATACTGGTTATATATCCATATAAAATAGGTATACAAATCAAACATTTATTGATAATAAAAATCATAAAAATTATTTTAAAATAAATTCTTTGATGAACATATAATTTTACCATTTATTAAAGACAAAACCTAATTTGTATACTAATAAAATGGATGTGTTTGAATATTTTTACAACAAATCTTGGCTGAGGGCTGAGGATGTAGTTCAGTTGGTAGAGTGTTTGCCTAGCATGCATCAAACCCTGGGTTCAACCCCCAGTACCATATAAAGCAAGGAATGGTGGTACATATCTATAATCCCAGCCCTTTGGAGATACAGGCAAGAGGATCAGGATATCAAGGTCATCCTTGGCTACATAGTTCAATCAAACCCAGCCTGAACTACATGAGATTTTTTTTTCTCAAAAAAAAAAAAAAACTCTTAGCTGAATAATTGGTTCCGTAGGACACAGAGCATCTTCAGTGTTTTTCAGGTTCATCAATATTTTGGCTTAGCAGTCATCAATGCTGAGAATGCCACTTTACGTAAATACATAGTGGTACAAAATGGAAAAAGAATGTTTTAGGAGGACAAAGGAGATGGCTCAGTCAGTAAAGTGCTTGCCATGCAAGCATAAGAACCTGAGTTCAGAACATCAGCACTCATGCAAAAAGCTGAGTTCTGCAGCATGCACCTGGAATCCTAGCATTGGACAAATGGTGACAAGAATATCCCTGGGCTTTGCTGACCAACAAGTCTAACCAAATTGGAGAACTCAAGGGTCAGTGAGAGAGTCTCAAAAACTAATAAACTGAAGAGCAATCCATGGAAACATCTGGTGCCAAACACTGACCCCCCCATACACACATGTGCACACATATCCATATATGTGCACACTAGAAATGTGCACACACGCACGAAATATGTTTAGAACCACTTCAGGCATTGTTTGGAATTCTGTCCTAATCCTGAGTCAAAATTCTTTTAATGATTTTTTTATGAAGCCCAAGTAAGCAACTCAAACACCAACTTTTAAACTCAAACATCCTAACATACAATCCAAACATACATTAATATGATATTTACATACTGAGGAATGGTGGTAGGAAAATATTATGGTTTTATTTACTGCAATTAAACTATTGTGTTTCTATAATAGCAGAAAGCTTTGTGCGCACTAGAATTCATAACATACAGTAGTCTGAAATGTGAAAATCTGAATCAAAGTGTTTCAGGCTGCATTCCTTAGCATTGTGTGGTATGATGGCATGCATGGTGTAAAGTGCACATGCTGTGTCTTCAGAACAAAATCTGAGGTTAACATCATGTGATGAAACACTAGAGTCATTTTGTGTTTAATTTTTTTTTTCAATTTGAGCCACAGTTTCATATATCAGAGTCTAGCCTAAAACTTACTGTGTAACTACGATGTCGAAGGATGATCTAATAATTCTCACGCCTCCACGTTCAGAGTTCTGGGTGTACATATGTGCAGCACCATGCTTAAT